CTTTCGATAAATGGGTATTTTTTCACTCTTTTGTAAAAAGATGTCGATGCTTGTGAGGTTTACAAAGGAACTACATTTTAGTTTCTTCTCCCGATCTGCTTCTTCTCATTTTTCTTTACTAAAACGGTCGTGCGTTCAATTGAAGTTGAGCTCTTAAGCTTAATTGTTTTAAACAACAATAAAGCAGCACAGTGCTTGTGTTTAAGTTCCATAATACAGGACTGACAGAAAATTCCTTTTTCATATTTACTGTCCTACATGTTGTTTAGTGTTTTCATAGCTCGATCTCAGAGCGAGTAAGGCATAATATTTAATAATCACAAAACTTGGACTGAAATAACCTTGGATTAAAATTTAATCAGAATTAATTGTCGAGGAACTGAGCACAGAATTTTAACGTTTTTGGTGCCCTGGCTTTTAGGCATGGAAGATACGGGACTTCCAAAGCAAATAAATGGACTGGCAGAGATGAGCAGCTGACAGTCTGTAGAGCAGAGCAGCTTAGTATACGTACTGACAGTGGCTTCAGCAACAGATGAGTTGTTTGTCAAACTACTGTAAGTAACATTACATTTGACATTGGCAGATGACACAGGATTTGTTAAACTTTACTATGGCAGCGGTTAAATTGATTAATAAAAATATATTTTCAAATGCATTAAACTGCACTTAAGTTCAATATTTGTCTGGCTGTATTTCTGGTAAAATTTAGCAGCACAATCCTGAAGCAATGTTCCCTGCATTTTAATAAGACTCAAACATACAAAATTTCTTTGTTGTCAAAGTTATACTGTATCTTGGAGAATACTTCAATATTTATTTCAAGTCATTGTTACAATTTTTAACAAGAATAAAGCATATTTTGTCAATAATTGGTTATTAAAAAAAGGGACATGTTTCTCGCATGTGAGGTTCATGCAAGGTTTTACTTGTGATGAAAATTAATATATTTGATGGGAACAGGGGATCATATAAAAAGAAGCTAAAAAATGGGACTGCGACATGCAGTAAGTAACTATGTAAATTAAGCCTCTAATGATACTTCAAGTATACTCAACACTAACTTAATTCCTACCAAAAATATACTTTTTGTATACTTTTTGCAGTATACTTTGATTACATAATATGTATACATCAAGTATACTATAAAATGGTAAGGGATGTTGAAGCATTCGCCCTACGTGAATGAAATTTGGCTTTACGCCATTTCGAAGAGTACTAACAATATAACAACATATTTAATAGACGTCAATCCGCGTTGGTCACGCAGTAACGCCGGTGAAGTTGTCACGTCGCCTATCACGTCTCACATAAGTTTTAGAAATCAAGCTTCGGGTTCCAAATTGAATCATATTTTAAATGTTTCCTATTTCGTGTTGATGGTTTCGTCATATGAAGAAGAAATACCCGAACTTCTGCCTAAAGAAGAAATAAAAGCAAGAAATTGAAAATCAAGAAAGGCAAAAATATCACTCAACAGGCGACAAATCCTATTTGAAGAATGTCTGCTAAACAATTCATCCCTCGTTGGCCAATATGACAGGGAAATCCTTCTCCTAGGAGGAATACGCGACCGATGCTGTTTATCTTCCCGTCGGCTCTCCGTTCCTCCTGTCGATGTCCAACAGTGAGTCATTTTCATCAGTAAGACCAGGGAATGAGGGTGAGAAACAAGTATTGCATCTAGAACTACATGTTTACTAGATAGCCATCCTGATAATTAATATTACTTCGTGCGCGCATCCATGCATTGGCGGGAATATCAATAGTCCTGGGCTTCTCCAGTCACTGAATCACGCTTCCCGGCTTAATGCATCGGTCAAATCGAAGCTTCAACATGCCCCCCCCCCCCCCCGGCACCCCCCGGGCCTTTTACACCTTTGCCCCCCCGGGGGGGGGGGAATTTGATTATCGGGGTCTTCCCGGGGGGGGGGGAGTGTGTCCCCAGGTTTTGGGGNCAATTGGTTACAAGGAGAGGGCTTAAACAAGCTTTGTGCCGTATTTGAAGTATTTAAATTTTAAAATTTTTAATTGGATGCAGGCTTTGAATGTATGAATGTATTTTATTGCTGTGTTTACAATGAAATACAATACCTATACCGGCGATAAAATAAAATAAAAAGCTCAGGTCAACTACTTTGACCGATTGCAAGTATGTTCATTAATAAGGTGAGCAATGATGCATGTCAGTGAAATGGTCATGATGTAGTAATCTCAATAGGTGGGATCTTTTTTTATAGAACGCTTTGTATGTTGCATAATGAAGAAAAGCTGAGCATTCAGTGACCTTGTAGCAGCGATTTCCGCCGCTTTGCACGAGACGTTTGTTCGTAGTAAATACGCTAACAGTGTTTCTCAGTTTTTGTTATATTTATAAAAATTTTGTTCGACAACTGAAGGCGTTTCCACCATCCTTCTGTCATTTTTGTGCCTGTGAAATGTCCCCGGGGTGGGCGCATTTGATCACCTGAATGGACCCTAGTGTGGGGCATTTGAACGGCATTTTGACCCGGGTAGGGGGGAATTTGAACAATAATTTTCAAAAAAGTCAAATGGCCGGGGGGTTGCCCGGGGGGGGGGGGCATGTTGAAGCTTCGATTTGACCGATACATAAAGTGTATATGACAGGTTTTTTTGGTGTGTGTTTTTAATTCTTAAATATATGTAGAATATGTATCCGAATTTTAAACTCGTCATAAAACTTGAAAATCTATTTCTCGCGTTCAAAACACAAGGAAAAATGTCTGTGGTATAGCGCCGCCAAATATTTACAAGTTCGACGTAGAATGATTTGCAAGGAGGTTGCTGAAGGCCGCACACTAACCAGTAGAGTCTACTGGTTAGTGTGAGTGCGCGAGGTCCCGAGTTCGATCCCCGGCGACATTTATACTTTCTGGTTCAAACTTCTCTCTTCAACTTTCTGTGTAGCTTTTTCTAGCTTTAAATACCCTTAAAACAGAGTATGACGGAGAAACGGGGCGGGGCAACGTCGACCCCTCAAGTTTATCAGTTATTACTGCCACGAGTTATCAACATAAAATATGGTTGCTTTACATTTTTACCTTTACGAGTCAGCAATAGTTTTCATTGACTAATAATGACAAGGTATTAGGTAAACTAGATTTCTCAGTTTAATTTGTTGGCTAAAATCATCTGTATCATGGACCATATTTCGACCATGTCATGTTATACTGCAATTTCCTCAGCATTTGTAACAATGACCTTAGAGCGGAAATATTAGCCAGAGCTAAAGTGGTGAAGGGTGTTAGTCACCAGATAATAGTTGTGCCAGTTATTTTGCTGAAAACAATGTGTTCAAGGTGTCCGCATAATTTCTTTACAGTGGCTATTTCATACTTCTAATGCGATCCCGTTATTTCTTATACTGCACAGGAAAAAAAAAAAGGTTTGGGGAATTTTTGTTGATAATACTTGAACTTAGCTTCTGAGAAAAAAAAAATCAACATCATTAGTTTGCAATATCTACACATTTATATGAAATCGGTTGCACAATACAACAATTTAAGTCGTATCTAAACTTAACGATAGCTGAATGACTATGCTTTATGATTACATTAGGAATTATTTCTGCCAATTTTAAAACTTCAATCAAGTCAGTCTAACCAAGATTTTAATGCGTTATTATAATTATATTTTTCCGTTCATTATCTTTGGAAGGTACATTTTGATTAAATTCAATATTTACCTAGAAGCCGGCTTCTTTGTGAATTTCTAAATTCCTTGTTCTAAATAAGATTTTACTTTTGTCGCGGTAAATAACGTCTTAAACTAGAGATTTAATCTAAATTTGAACCCTTATGAATGTATATTGAATGAATGTTTTAAGTTTTAATTGCGTCGTTTCTTGTAAACCTTAAGCTTGCACCGTTTTGTTTTCATTTGACCCATATAGACTGAACTTGAGTCCAGACGCAAAATAAAAGTCTATGCTACAATTTATCCCTTAGGCATTATCTGAAAGTTACCTTCAACTAATTTAACTTTTTTTCCGACGATCTGTGTGCAGATCAGCGCTTTTGGGCATGGCGCAATACAGTGCTTACGGTGTTTTTAAAGAACCTACAAGTTTATATTAATGTGAAAATCAATATAAACCTGTCCTTTCGCTATTTCCGGGAATCAGTTTTTTTTTCAAAAATTAAATTGGAATAGAAACGCCATGAAAATAGGGCACTTATTACACATTTTATCACCCCTAAGAGAAATAAGAATTTTGAACACTATTAAGCCGTTGATTGCTTTCTATCATTGAAATTTTTTTAAACACAAAAGAAACATCGTTGATAAGGGTCTCGAGCTGCCATCAACACCAAAAATTTAGACGTATTTATTTTGCTTTTCAAATTAGGAAAAACGGGAAAAATACGAAAAGAAAAAAGCCTTAACAGGTCAGGAAATAAGTAACCCAGCGAGGTACCTATAGTTAAGGTTTTTCCTTGATGCCTGCGATTAAGATTAAAAGCTTTTCCTTTACATTATTTTTCTTTAATTTTCATCGCAGCACTATTTTCTGTGACTAAAAAAGTCGCAAAGAAATCAATATCACCTGTCCCGTATTTAAAAGGAAAACGAGACAATAGAGAAAACACTCCGTTAAAATAGGTACTGCAAATGAACATCTCCATTGGATAAAAACAAAATAAGCTTTTATTTTATGGAATGGCTTCGGGCACAAATTAACATATCTTTTAAATATATTTGCTTACGGAACAAAACGTGTTTGCTTAATAAGATCGGGAGAGGGATATACATGTCCAGTTGCAACAAGGCTTTTGTACGGTTTTAATCTCAGTTTTCCACACTCAAGACTCAGTGCCGGATACTAGAGGCAAACTTTCACAGTCAGTCGTAGAAAATTATACAATCATGTACGCTGCGTACATCGAAGCGGTGTCTCGAGCTGTCAACGAGGCATAATGTAGAATCTTCGTTCAAGAGAAAAAAATAGATAAAAACGACTTGGAGAGAAGGCAGTAGTAATGAAGGATACACAAGAAGACAATCAAACTTCCAATCAGGAGGTGCAAAGTGATTCTGGTTCGGATGATGAACAAATCGTACTCGCCGTTATAGGAGTCGCTGTACTGATATCAAACGGTCTTGTTTGTACACTTTTCTGTCGATACCGTACACTTCGCACAATAACAAACACTTTTATTGTAAGTTTGGCGATAAGTGATCTGATGGTTGCAGCGGTGTTCTTGCCGACATATCTGGCACGTCTGGCTGCAAGCCCCTATATAATCGCCTACATTCTATTTGCTTACCTTTTTAATTTCTGTGGGGTTACCTGGGATCGTTACCAAGCTGTTCTTAATCCACTTACTTACAGATCTAAGGTGACGCGAACGATTGTCTACAAGATACTGGCTCTTGTGTGGATTATGCCATTGCTTTTAGCTATAATACCGATATTCTGGGAGTACCAGGAGGATATCAAGTCATCAGCCGAGCGTATTTACCAAGGAATCTTGGTAACAATAGTGACAATATGTAGCCTGTTGATATGCTGGGCCTACGGTCGAATATTTCGTGCAACAAGACGTCAAATGAAAAAGATGATTGAAATGTCCGAGACAAACTCGAGGGTCGAAAACAGTGCAAAGAAGCAATTAAGGGGATCAAAACGACTCTCAGCAAACATCTCCAAAGAGGTGAAGGTTGCTAAAGTCTTCGCGCTTGTTGGGGGCACATTTGGAGTCTGCTGGCTCCCTTTAATAATTATCAACGTATTTGGGGCGCTGGGTTTTCCAGAACTGATTCCCGGTACCTTCCTTCAAATATCGCTCTATTCTTTGGTTGGAAATGCATTGGCGGATCCGTTGATTTACTCATTCTATAAGGCAGATTACAGACGCGCCTTTATGAAACATTTCGGTTGCTCTAAATCACGACTCCGTTACCCATCCTCAATGACTAATGACTCTATCTGCACGGAAGAAATTCGCAGCAGCAGAGTAGATGAAAACCTAATTCAGACATCTAAATCCGTCAATTTAGCTAACTTACAATAAATCACCCAAACTAATATTCATTAAAGGACTTCCTTCCTCCCGAAAAAAAAAATACATCAATAAAAATAAATACATAAATACAAAATCGACAAGGAGAATGCGTGCTTTTAGTTGCAGGTGAAACAGTTTATTTGCGTAATTATTGTTACAAGCCCGCAATAAAAAGAAAGTTTAAATTTCAGTCTTAACAAAGAACTTTCATTTAGGCACAAACTATAATAGCACTGGGTACATTAGTGCGACATATGTTTTCATTTATAACTGAATGAACCCCCAAAACATAATTAATCTCTGACTTCAATGCGATCATTTTGGAATGCGTTTCTTTATGAATTTTGCCGATAATTTGTTAGCTGTAAACACTTTAAGTGAAGATGAATGGAAATGATTAATTTTCAAAAAATAATTGTTGTATTGATATCTTTATTAATTTTTGAACATGGGACAATGAACTGTTTGATTGCATGTGTTGTTGAATTTACACGGCTTTTAACTTAAATTAAGGAGCTGACTAAGTCTCTGTCATAAGCACTTGACAAGGTCTTAACAGAGAGATACGAGAAACCAATAAAAATTCTTACGAAAATGGAGAAATGGGATGACATTGATGACATTTCAAGTTAATGAAGCGTTTTGTTTCGTTTCGTTTCCTCGTTTAACGGCATGCAACACTTGGACGGAATGCCGAGTTATAAGTATGTAAACTTCGACCATTCTTTGATGATTTTACGCTGTGGTTGTTCAAAAAAACAGTGAAATATTCGTCTACATATGGCGTGTAATCCCCGCCAAAAATGATTTTGTTATGTTGTGCTAAATTGTGAAATATAAGTTTATTGCAATCGTTCTATGTTTAGTACTGTTGCATCAAATTCGGTGAGAACGACGTAGTAATAAATTAATTTTGTGGAATCAAATTCGGTACCACCGTTTCAAATTCGGTTCCAGATCAGTTAAAATTATATTCTGGAGCATCAAATCCCACAACTTTCCAATTCTTCTTCATTAAGAGGGGTCTATCATATTCGGCAACACCATCAGTATTTAACCAGTTCTTCTTCTTCATCAAATTTCAGTCAGCCTTAGTTCAGTTTTTTTAAATCAGATAGATACACTTCTGTACTTTGACTTCAGTCCTGAAATACTAAAATCTAGCCTGGCTCATCATTTCTGGGAATTCTGAAATTATCCCTAAAATTAACAAATTCTGTCTGTCCTTAGTCATCATTATCATCGACAACGTCACCATTATCATCATTATCATGTAATATTTCCGCTGCAAAGACCAACACGTGACCAATCATCAACTAGTCGTTCATTGTAAATCTGAAAGTTAGTTTCAATGACCTTTCACGAAGCAATATTTGTGTAACAAAGAAATCGTTGTTTTTAATTTAATATCTTTTTTGTCAAAAGGTGTTGCCATGGTTTAAATGCTGTGGTAAATGTACATATTGTCCGAGATTCCCATCTCCCATTCCAAGTTCATGATCGTCTTTTTCCCTCCTCTTTATCCTTATAATAGTAAGCTCGGGCATTGTTTCTTTTGTTGGTTCCTCATTAGTTCCCAGTCTCCGAAGTCTCTTAAAGAAAACAACATTTATAGCTTTACGGCGAATTTTGCTGTTGAGAGTTAGGCAAACAATTGGATTTATGCAACTGCTTCCAAACGCAAACACAGAGTACGTAACGTACGCCCCGCGAGGCAGGCTTCCTGTTCCCATGATTGCATTCAGGAAATCCACCGCAATTACTGGAGTCCAGCTGATAACAAAAGCAAAAACAAGTCCCAGTAGAAGTTTAGTCGTTCGTAGTTCTTCAGAACTTAGATCGCCATTCTGATGGCGGGAACGTGAACGAATCGTGTTTTTCGTTGCAATGACATGTTGCTTTACCGTACGAAAAACTTTATAATAACACAACGCGATGAGTGTCATGGGTAAAACTGTGTAAATAAGCAACAAGAAAATAGTATAAGCTATTTTACCCAATTTTCGGTTCGGATCAATTGTCATAAAGCAGGCAGCCTTTCCCGGTCTGAAGATGTAGGTTACCAACCCACCCAAATAAGGTGAAAGGGCAAGAACGAAAGGAAGAGTGCTTACAGCTGCAGTCATTCCTAATGTGAATCTTTTGGTAAACCATTTTCGGTATATCCTAGGTCTACGAACACAATAGTATCGATTGATAGCCATTAAGGTTACCAAATGCAGTGAGATCCACACAAGGCAAAGGACTAACACACCTTAAAAAAATGCATACACCTTCACTGAAAATCCATTTTCCCTGGATGAAAATAGACGCTGAAATAGGCATAACTAGCAAGGAAGTTAGTATATCCGCAATTGCTAGACTAACCAAGAAAATGTTTGTGACGGTATGGAGCCTTGGGTTTTGGAAGACCACGCAAATGATTAGAGAGTTTCCAATAAACGATATCATAATAATAAGCAACATCAAACTTGATTCAAGTACTATGGTCACCATGCCTCTATTTTCTAGTTCGTATTGAAGCCTTTTCAAGTTTTCTTCATCCATTTCGAATTCCAGTTATAGGAAAAGGAAATAATCTCAAGACAGTTGACGATAAATAACTGAAGACGTGTGACGCAATCAGTACTCGATGTGTTAATTGCAGTATTGCTGCACAGTTTGTCTAATTTGAAAGAAATAAAATGGTTTTGATTAATTAAAAATCGCAGTTATTTTCAGATCGAAGCATAGGCAACAAAAATCGTATTGTTTTACGATTTAAATTGTGATGCTCTTTTGGCACATGTGCTAGAGCCTAGATGGCAATTGTAGGAAAACTAAGCACCATAGCATGCGCATAGATTCTTCAAAGATCGGTCTTCAGGAAAACAAGGAAACATGTACGTACAGCTGCTGATAAATATGTCATTTGATTGGGAAAGAACAATGCCGGCTGCTTAAACCATTTAAGCAAATCGGCGCTTGCTATCATTAAGAAACAACTCCATTGGCTGAGTTTGACAGCTAATGTCAATTTTCCCGCCGCACTAATGATTTTTGATAACCGGTTGTGTAACACCGTATCCTTTTTAACAAAACCTTACTGTACCCGCTTAAAATTACAAATCCACGTGAACTACTCCTTTTGTGTGTCTGAAAACATTACAAAACGAACAAAATAGATGGATATATTTTCGACTTTGACATGAAGTTCAAAGGACAACACAATATAGTAAAGAAAATGTAATAGGGAATTTACAAATTAGCTCAAAGGAATAAGGTCCTCGTTTATAGACCGTGTTTAGCCTGTCCAAATAATACACATTAATATTAAAGGCAGTTGTCTTTGGTAAGTTCAGAGTTGGTAATCACAACTGGGGTACCCCAAGGGGGTGCTTCAAGGGCCAACATAATAGTCTACTGCCATGGCTGCATACCACATAAATAATGGCAGCTTTTGAGAGGGGCGAATAGGGCTTGCTAATTAAGAAAGCAAGGCTTAGCTTAGTTTATGGAAAATGAAAGAATCTGTAAGTGCACAGGCTAACAGCCTCAGCCTTCACTTGCCCGTAATGCATTATCGTTCCCAGAGCCACTTGCTCAATTTCTAACGGACGAGCGACCAATCGAAGCGACAAGCTCTGCGTGGGAAGGAGAATACCCGCAGTGTCAGTGAGGATGTGGGGTTCTTTCGGGCCATCCTACCCTTTATCCCGTGAAGCTGCTTCGTAGTGTATGTATGAGCAGTCCTTATCAGCGATTGGTCAAAGCCGCGACCAATGGCAGCAAATGATAACAGCATATTTGTCACAAGGCTTATTATTCAAAAGACACACACTGAAAAGCTAAAAAGCGAATTCAGCAGTAAAGGGGCTATTTTGGCTCAAGAGAGTGACTAGAACCTACAGTAAAGCAAAAACCAGTGGGTAAAGTAAACGGAATTATGTCGCGTGTCCGGTGGGGGGGGGGGGGGGGGGGGGTAGAGCAAAAAAGATTGGACGCGGGGCAGTATGAAGGAAAAAAAAATTCAGACATCGTATGAAGCCAGCAACATGTGTATGCAAAAGTTAGGGTTTTTTTTTTTTTTTTTTTTTTTTATGTGTGGAATTTTTTTTTTCCCCATTTTTGCCAAAAACTTTTTAAAAATTTTTGGGTTTTGCACTAGGCTTTCTAAAAAATTATTTGGCTTGACCCCCTTGTAAAAAAAGGAAACAAAAAAAAAAAAAACACAAAAAAAAAAAAAAAAAAAAAAAAAAAAAAAAAAAGAGAGAGAGGGGAGGAGGAGTGAGTGAGGGAAAAAAAAAGAAAGAGAAAAAAAAGGAAGGAGAGGGGGGGGGGGGGGGGGGGGGGGGTGGGGGGGGGGGGGGGGGGGGGGGGGGGGGGGGGGGGGGGGGGGGAGGTGAAGTAAAAAAAAAAATTCGCGCAAGGGAAAATTAAATGAAAAAAAATTCATGCACGCCAATTAATCCTGAAAAATATTCATGCCATGGCTTAAAAACAATTAATACATGGAATCTGATAGCGGAAAAAAATTCCTGCGGCTCAAAAGGTCCCCTCCCCCCACCCCATAACTTTTCTAATGGTCTGTCCCTTAATATCTTTCATGAAACGATGTCAAATTTGTTTAATTTGCTAATCCAGCGTGTTCAAACAGTTGGAAGGCAAAGGGACAAAAAATAATCTGAGAAAATCCATTTTGCCTTGCAGTAACAATAAGGAAATAATAAAAAGAAAATGAACAGAAAATAAATGAAATAGAGTGGAAACAAGACATAGAGAATTAGACAAAAGAAATGAACAGTGAAATATGTGATATGTCCTATATTAAAAAATACCCGCACCTCCCTATAAACTCTTAATGGCATAGCTGGTATCCATATAATTGTAGTTTCTACTCTAGTTTGTGTTTGGTCTCACACTTAGTTGATACGATATGGTGCAGTCATTATCTTTTACACTGATACGATAGGGTGTAGTCATTATCCTTTGTAAGGAAAACGTCTCCTTCACAGTGTCGTCCTGTTTCATGAAGTGATCTTTTTGAAACTTATGGCGCTATCCACCTTTTCAGCTTGATTAAATAAAGGAGCGTCGAACATGCAATGAAATTTAAAGCATTTAGGAAATAATTATGTTTACCGAAAAATTGTCAACCTGGAACTAATTGGATTGCATTGAACTACACCGAAACGCCTATTGTCTGTGAGCTTAGGGGGTTATACACATTTTACAGTGCGAAATTAAAGAGGTTCCTGTTCTGTCCTTAATCCAATCGTCTTTCAAGGTGTATTTTTCTTTTCCTAAATAAACGGACTAAATTAATATAAATCGACATTGTGATCTTCATGATGACTATTTTTGTCTCATGCAACGCATGTCTAAGATTGAAGAGCGGATGGGTGAGAAGGGGGCTTTAAAAAACATCAAGAAGTTTAAGAAGAGAAAATTGAAAAAACGTAAATACTCTTTGACGGGTTGAAATGAGTTACATGGTCTGATCTTCGGCAGATAGAAAATTAACTTGTATAAATTATGGAAAGCTAGTCTCAGGTCTGTTGAGTTGTCGGTTATGATTAATGCCCGACCTTCAAGGTGTTACCTGCACGTTAAGCTCTTCAAATAGCTTTTATAATTTCGATGCACTCAAACTATTAATAGTTCCAGTGACGCCAGCAGTTTTAAGATGGCAGAAGATTTTAGTAGCAGTATTTCCTTCAGATCAATTACTAAATAGGTTTTTTCGAAATAATCTTTAAAAAAATCATTAAAATACGGGATGGCGGGAGAATTGGTTTTCTTCAATACTCGCCAGCTCAGTGATATTTACCGACAAAGGAATTGCTTTACTTTAATTATTTCCTAGGAATTGGGCGTGATATTAGTGTGGCACATTAGACAATCATAAGGCGAACAGATTATAAAGCCGGTTGGCTTAGCCTGTCAATTGAGAAAAATCAACGTATAAGCACTATGCGGGATAAGAAAGCTTTAAAAGGTAAATAGACTGCTACCGTATATTTATTTAAGACTGGCAGGCAGGAATTAATACGAAAGGACCGCGAAGATTCTTTAGGACTGAGGTAAAAGCATGCAAGATCGATGCTAAACAGTGTACGCGCATAAAAATAGTATGCGCTCATTACCCTACAGAACCAGTCAAGGAAAGACGGTCGAGAGAGCTGTGCACGAAACGACACTGTTTTACAAAGTAAATATACCCTTACTGCATCATCAGCGACAAAGGAATAAAAATGATAATAAATTTAAATGACTTGGCTTGATTTTCATTTTTTCCAACAATTTTCCCAGTCCCTGAAAAAAACAAAAGAAACAGTTTGCAAACGGATCTTCCGCAGAACTCATAAAGTTCAGCAAAAAAAATCCATGAACGTTTTTCACTTACCAAAATTTCAAAATACTTATTTTCTGCCGACTATCATAAAATTGCACAAAACAGACTTAATTACGTCAACTCTCTCAGTCAGTTATCGGACTGGATCGGGCACACAATACATGTCAAGTATCTCACTTTTGCTTTCAATTGACTGATGATTTGAACAAAAAGGTTCTTTGATAAATAATTTACTCTTGATATTGTATCTTGTTGGAGTCGTTCAAGAAATTAGCATAATTATGGTTTACGCTATACACAGATGGCTGATGAATGCTTGAAGATATACCGAACACATTAACCCTATAGGGCATGAATGAGGTTCGAGTTTTTCCCTTGTCTCCATACACTTTCATGATTTCAATCCATATTCACCACACGGAAACAATTTGGTCGAATACTTAAGTTTTATATCAAAATTCTTAGTTATCCAGTGGTTTTAATGAATCCATCTCACTTACCACAAGGCGCGCCTCACTGCTCTGTAATTGTTTAATGTTGGAATACGTTGAAGAAATTCTTCCAATGAGTACACAGGTTTCTTTAATATTTTCTTTGTATTGATTAGAAAGAATAAAAAATAGGAGACGTCAAAATACCGGGTAGCTTGGAGTTATTAGCATTCAAAAAGCGATATTATAGGAGCAGAGTTCTGCTGTTTTCTGGGTTGGTCAATTGCCTTCCTTCTGCGTCAATTCCGTGTTACGCAAGAGTATCCAAGAGATCATTATTAAAGATGCCTTTAATTATTATAATGCCCTTCAAACTCACTTTAATGCACGAGAAGGTTATAAGGTTAATATCTGGAGTCACCGACGCAATTATCCTTTAGGGAAAATAGATATTTGCTACGTGCAAACTTTGCAACTTTTTAGAAAGGGAAACGGAAAGGGCAAATGTGGATTCTGACATACTGGACGGGCGTGTCGAGTACACGGATATTCATCAGACAAAAAGGGAGTTTTTTGTCATGTGTTTAAGAGTGGACCAATATATGCACCGCTATAAATATCTTCTCAGTTCACAAAAGCATCATTTTTTATTTACCTTCAGCAGGGAAACAAGTTTTCTGATTAAGATGGCAGACCTATCGGATGGAGCCTTGGCGTTAGGTTCAAGAAGCAAATTTACCACGGCCGTTGAAGGAGGACTAATATTGTTAATCAATTTCGTTGCACTGTTTGGTAATTTACTCATTTGTTGTGTTATCTACATCAAGCCAAGATGCCACACGACTACAAACACTTTTATCCTCGCCTTGTCCGCCGCAAACGGATTCATTGCCTCCTTCATCATGCCGTTCACATCTGCTTCCTTGATAACAGGCAAGTGGCAGTTTGGAAAGACTTTGTGTGACATCCAAGGATTCACATTCCTCGCGTTAACATGGATATATTTATTGACACTAATACTTGCGGTTAGTAGTCATTTATTTCAGATAACCCGGTTGCCCCTTTACAACAAATGGTTTTCGGTCGACCGTGCGTATGGCATGATCATGGTGATCTGGGTCATAGTGATAATAATACCGATATGTTTCGAAGCGGCTGGGGCCTCCACTTATCGATTTTATCCTGACGCGGCGCTATGTTCCTTGGCCCTCAACAAAGGAGACTATAGCCTAGGCACGTCTTTCGCGGTAATCACACTGGCATTATGTAAAGCTTTGACTGTTTTGTCACTGCTGACATGGTGCAAAATCAAAAGGCGTATTAACGTGTCCGTACACGCTTCTGGACACGTCCAAGAAGGAAGAGAAATTTTGCTGAGAATTTTTGCAGAGAAAAGAAAAACAAATCGAGTTTTACTTTACCTTACGACTGCAGTTCTTCTCTTCTGGTTTCCGACTGTAGTCATCAGGATTTTGTCATTTTCCATAACGCTTCCACGTCAGATACATCTTGCCTCTACTTTTTTCTGGATTTCCGTCCCTGTACTTCATCCTATAATATACGGAGCTTTGCAAAGACCTTTCTCAAGGGAGATTCTAAGGGCCATGCCGAGAGTAAAACATGGTGAAAATAAGGTTCACGCTGAACACACCGTCTGATCACAAATTGTTTTAAAAGTATCTTCAAACAGTTATTACGGAAACCAAAGAAGTGGCAAGCAAGCTATCTATAGACTTAACGGTCGTCCTTTATTTTTATTAGTACGCTTGATCCCGCAGAACTTTAGCAACTAGAGAAAATTTGACAGTGAAAGAGGAGAACAACACTGGGAAAAAATATTTACTTGACGCAAAAATAAAGTTAGCAACTTTCGGTTTTAACAGCATTTAGAGGTATATTTTCATATTGATTGATCCTAGTATTTGTGATATTGTGACTTAAAATAGCGCAAATTGTAACTAATTTTGATACGGAGGAGTGTCACATAGTGTAAATACGTAAGGATAAAAAGAAAACGAAAACAACAGCAAATTAAAACACACAACATCTTAGGTGTTGGCCATTTTCTCTACTTAACGGATTGTTATGTATATTGGAAGCTTCAAGATACAGTGTATCTGATTTAATACATTGACAATGCGTCGCAAAATTATCGTGATCGTGTTTTCATTATATTTTGTTTGATATTAGATTATTGCGCCTTTAGTGTGGCTCAATTTTGATGAAAATGACGCACACTTATTTTCTATTCCCTAAGATGTTCCTCGCCCTTAATAATAATAATAATAATAATAATGATAATAGTAATAATAATAATAATAATAATAATAATAATAATAATAATAATAATAACGATGATGATCATTATGATGATGGTGATGGTAGTGGGGGTGGTGGTGGTGGAGGTGGCGGTGGTGCTGCTGGTGAAGGTCGTGATTATCACTTAAAAGCACAACAAATTATTGCTTATGCGCGAAGTAACCCCGGCGACTCCCCTCAGAAAGTTATCGCCGTTACTATTGTTTGTAACTGACTGTTATTGTCATTATCACCGTCGATGGTGGTCTTATAGTCTTTGCCTGTCATACACGCTGACTAAACTGTGATAGTTCCATGAAAAAAAAAAAATAGATATCTCGAGAGTATCACCAGCGTGGCATCCTTCTTAGCGGTGTATCGGGTCATATCCAAAACACATCCGCCTTTTCCGCGATTGCATATTTTCGAACCTCAGAAATCTTGAGCAGGAAGTTGCACTTTAATATACCTGTGTTAAGTATTCTTTTCGCAGCTCACTTCAAGGTTGGCCTGGTGTTATTTTTTTTGCTTAATAGTTCATCATCCACCGCTCTCATTTGTGATGTCTTAAACTTATTTAAAAATCAACCGATATTTATGTTTCCCCTATAGAGAATACTGGTGTTGTCGTTTTATCAGA